GATTTTTTTTTGTAAGTTTGTTACTGAAATCAGTTCTGTTAACATTTATTAATGAACAAATAAAACTGTTTCTATCCTTTGAATTCTTTGGGAAACCACTATATTGTTAAACAGTGTGTGAAATGTAGCGTGCATATTCATGTGAGAATATGAATCATCACAAATTTATGTCATGTATTCTGCAAGGGCAATCCTAACCTTTTCTTTTCATGGCCACTGGGAACCAATTGTGACCAATTCTATTGGTTATATTTCTGTTTTACCATACGAGAATGGATCTGCATCTATCATGTTCAGGAGCTGTTAAAACCATGATGAATTTCTGTTAACGTGGCACTGCATGGACCTTTGGCCTGAGGTCACCGTGAGGGAACATGCCCAACTCCCCCTGAGGACAGCTTCTGAGAAAGGAGTGTGACCCTTTGCAGCTGGCAGCCGCCCGGGCAACGCGCCAGAGCACGAACACCACCGTAACGGTGTGCTCAGGATCGTGAACGGGGGTTGGCAGGTTTGAACAAAATATGGTGACTTCAATGAATAAATTCTCAACTTTTTATACTTCAGTACAAGTTTCAGGTTAAAACTTCAAAGAAAATAAAAGTGGTGTTCTTTTGGATGCTGGTTTTTTGGGGGTTTGTGTTTTTATTTTTTTTGTTTAGTCTTGATTTTTTTTTTTTTTAAAACTTCAAAGAAAATAAAAGTGGTGTTCTTTTGGATGCTGTTTTTTTGGGGGGTTTGTGGTTTTTTTTTGTTTAGTTTTGATTTTTTTTTCAATTGGACTAAACATTGCCCTTGCTCCTCCTTTCTGACAAAGGAAGGAAAAGAAAATCAATTCCAAGTCAAAGACTGCTTTTCCTTTTCCTCAAGCAGTTCTATTTCATAGCTTTTCAGTCTATTTTCTTTATTGCCTGGCTTTGCACTCACCAGCAAAGTCAGTACTTACACATCACAGTATATAGTAAGACTAAGAGAAAAGCACTGCAGGATTTGGTCCTACTATTACGGTGTTCCATTAATTTTACAATGAAGTCTTGGCTACTAACATAAAATCCTAAATTCTGAAAACACTTCTGGCTTTGTATTTCTGACATTTAGTTGAATAGAGTTACCAGGTACATGTTACCTTGAAATTGATTTTTAATGATAATATTTTATAATTAACAATAAAAAACCACACTCTGTACCCAACTTCTTTTGTAGACTATTTTAATAAAGGATTATAAAATACAAAAGAGAGAGAGACAGGTAACCTGAGATGCAATTTTGGAATGCAAACTTTTAGTTCAAATGTGCAAGCTCAAACTTAACAAATGTTTAAAATATTTGAGTTTGTCAAATGGTGCCAAAATAAACCATGTCTTTTCTAAAGACTACATATTTAGCTAGGCACTGGCAATGTAAATCTTTCAACCATTTCAAGTATTTGTTTAAAAGCCTCCCAGAACACGTGGGCTCCCAACAAAACTGAAGAATGAAATGTTTAGAACACTGAAGCTCAACAGCTGACTTATAATCGACCTAATATGAGAACACTACTTTGTCTTTTTGAACTTGTGAATACATTTTATTTACCAATGCATGAGAAGAACAAACAGAGAAAGTCCAGTTCTGCAGATCTGATGTGAAATGTTGCAGTGATAAGAGTCAGCCCACGTAACACTGTGATCACAGCAAGAGAAACTGCCCAGCAGTGATTTTCATGTGCCTCACAGCTGATTCTTGCATGGGAGGAAAATCTTCAGCAGTAGAAGTTAACAAGAAGAAAACCAACAGCCTTATTCTAATTGAAAGAAATAAAGGCACAGAGAAATCCTGACATTTAGATAGTAAGTTCATTTGTGTACATGGATTAAAGATGTCACAACACCTGGTAAGACTATATATAAAGTCAATCTTGTAAAATATTCCTGACTTGGAATAAACAAATAAATAAATGTGTACATGACAACATACTGACATCACCAAATCATTTCAATATGATAGCTTATTTATAAAATATTTACTATTCCTTAACATTAATGATTAACTAATGAATTTTACTTTGCCATGAATGTATTTAAAGAGGAACCAAACAAATTCAGCTACAGGACTCCACTAACAAGACTGAGCTGGCTTTAAACTTTTCTGTATCAGCAGTTTTCCCAACCCTAGTACAGAAAGCCATGCCACCAGTTTTCAGCTGTGGGCTGCATGAAAAATAGTACTAAAAGACTAAAGGTCCACAGTTCTTTTCTGTTAAAGTTGATTTGTCACAATATTGTTAATTAGTGAGGGCTTAGGGAAGGCTTACTAGGAATATAATTACAGTGCTGAAAAGCATTAATAATGCTCTTATCCAGAGCCAACATGATGCTATTTACATATTTTACCCTGGCATATACCAGAAATGACTCCCAGTGCATAATGTGCTGCAGGATCACCAAGAGAAAGACACAAAATCTCACAGGGGAAGAACATTTCTGAGTACTTCTTCTATTCAGGACAGCAGGGACCCTAATTCGACCAGTAATTACAGCTGTCACTATAAGATTCACCTATGGTGAGCCACCTTTCATCATTAACTGTTTTTCCATCAGAAGGGAAATGAATTGCTACTCCTGGTATATAATCGGATGCAATCTCATCTTTCTCACATAGATTAGGACAGAAGTGAAAATTGCATTTGTCTGATGTATGAGAGCAGGCTTCTTTTCACTTTCAGAGCTCTGCTCAGGCACCAATCAGTTCTCAATGAATAAACCATATGATAAGCCCATTAACCCATGTTGTCATTATCGCCTCTTTCTACTGACCAGAGCAGATTTCCTGCCCTCATTACACTGAGAGGCTAAAGTTAGGCTGGGCTCAACAGGACCAGAAGCTCTGCTGAGGGCACTAAAGGCTGGGCCTCCACCACCAGACCTACGTGATTTATGCTGCTCACTTCAGCAGGTGAAGAAGTGAAAGTGTTTTGACATTAACCACATAGATACTTTTGCAAACACCCTGGAGGAGCCCGGGAACCTCTTCAGGGACTGCATACCTTTAACGACAGTCACTAAGGAATTTGCCAAAGACCACACACCAGGTTGTTAGCAAGGAAGAGGGAGAACTCAACTGTTTTTGAATCTTTCTACTCTCAACATAAAAAATTTCCCATGATCCTTCCCAAAGAATAAAAACATTTCCAGCTGAATTTTAAAAATCAACACATCTGAATTGCAAAGAGAGAGAATACATTTATCCACATTTGTCATTTATGACAAAACACCCTAACCAAAATTATCACTGAATTCCAGGCTGCCTGGTGCAAGACAAAAGACAGAGTCTTATACCTTGGGTATAATGTGTCAAAAGGAAAATTATGGAGCAAAACTGTAAGTTAATTTTACCAAATCAAGTATTACCTGCAATCAGATGTATCTGACATCAAGCCTGCTAGATGGCTTTTGCATGGCCCATCCTACTTTTCCAAACAAAGCCAATGGACACAAGAGGCTGGAGGTCAAACAGTCTGGCTGTAGGAAGCCTGCATTCACAGGATTATTCACTTGGACACAGAAATACTTGGGGAAAGGCGAGGAGCTCTTCACACTCCAAGGGGAAGGAGGAACTTAGCACATTCATGCATAGAACACAAGCCCTGATTTAGTAAACTTGCATTTTCAAAGTAGCAAACAACTTCCTTATAAAAGCTACCTAGCAATAACTAATACTTTTACACTGAAAAATAAGTACTTCAAAGTTAAATTAAAACAATGTGTAAGAATAAATGTTTCATTCTCACAGTGAAGGAAAAGCTACCTTATTGCCCTACAGGGATCTTTGTCCCAGAGGCCATGTTTAACTTAACTAAGAAATCACCTTGAAGAGGGAGTTAATTTGGAGATGGCAGTATTTCATATTACCATATTCAGCATGGAGATGCTGATGATACTTTGATATTGTGAGTATTAAAGAGGAGCTGTGAGAAGAGATGGAATAAGAGCTCATGGTCACCAGGGAATGCTAAAACAACAGGTGACATTCAGTACCCATAAATGCTGTGTTATTCAGAAAACAGTTCTGTCTTCATACAGGCTATAATGAACTCTGAGCTGAACATTACAACTGAGGAAGGGATCTAGAGAAGTCATTTTACTACAGAAATATGAATACCAATAAATAATCTGTCATAAAGCAAGTTCAATGCTGAAAATGGTTACAAATAGCACAGAGAAAAAACCAGACAACATCATTATGACAACCATTAAAGTCACATTTTGTCTATATCTTGAACACTAGGCACAAACCGTGTTGCATCTCGGTAAAAACACTGCAGAGCTGGAAAAAAACCAGATTAGTATGACAAGGCCAATTAAAAACACAGGACAGATCCATTAAATGAGACTAGGGGTTCTCTCTGGAAAAGTTGGGGAAATGATGCCAAATATGTACAATCACATGGGACATGGAAATATGAACAGGGAATGGTTCCTCACCATTTCTCTCATACAAAAACTAGGAGATAGCAAATGAATAGAGCTGGTTCACAAGAGAAAAGGAAGTATTTTTTCACTCAATGCATCATTAACTTCATAAGACCTTGTGAAAGGAACAAGTAGATGCAAACAATTTTAATGGATTAAAAAAAACAGGCCATGAAAAAATGTTGCTAAATACAAAGACACCACCTCTGGCTTAGAAAGCCTCTAACTAACAAATTGCTGGGACACCAGTTGGGAGAGTGGTCACTAGAGCTGGCCTAACTTTATGCCCTTTCCTAGGCATCTTCTATTTGTTATTGTCAAAGGCAGTCCGGGCTTTGGTCTAGCACAGCATGGTAGTCCTTACATTTTTGTCTTTATTTCTTCCTTACTACCTCCTTACAGCAGAAATGGTTCAATAGCACTGACAGCTCAGGAGATCTTGTCTCCCACTTTGTGCACAAAGCTCAGTGAGGACAGTAGGACAAAGAGCTGTTGAGTCACCCAAAGAGCTGAACAGCAGCACAGGGCTCAGTGAGGACAGTAGGACAAAGAGCTGAACAGCAGCACACAGGAGATGGTGAAGGGGCTGGAATCTGGGGGGTGGCAATCCTCTGGTTTGGAAGCATTAAAATTTCTTCCCACTGAATAGGTGTGGGGGAGAGGCTCCAGACTCACTGGCTATCTTAGGATTGACCAAAGGTCAAAAAGGAGCACTTCAGAAATTTCTAGAAGTGACTTGGGTAAATGCGGCTTGGAGGGATGCTACTTATCTCCCTGCAAGAGGTTAGGTTTGGTCAACTGAAACTAGGAGGGGCTTAGGTCTGTAGATGAAGAAGGTTTAACATTTAAGTGTTTGAAAGAAAAAACAGACATTAAAATGTCTCTCTCTACACCTAAAACTAAAATTTCATTTTCTTCAGAGAGACGGCACTATCACAACATCTCAACAAGCAAGCATTAAGAGGCAAGACCATGTAACAACATTAAACATAAAGCAAAGCAGAACAAGTGGAAGCCTCAGGAGTTACATCCACCTTGCCTGAGTTGGCTGGTCCTTAGGAGACACTAAAGCCCAGCTGGTTGCTGAGATTCTTTATTGAGTTTGGAGTTCTCAGAGATTACAGCTGCTTTCTTGAGCAGGATTATACGAGTACTGGCCTGACTGTTCATACAGGGAGATGGCTGGGTCACAAACATAACTCTAAGTTCAACTGTAATGAATCTTAGAGTTTATAATGTCTGTGTACCTCAAATTCCTCCTCAGCCCTCAGTTTCTCCCCTCCCTGTCAGATTCCATGCTTCAGCCTTTAAGTCCTAGGGTACTTCATGAGTACAAAAAGCTGAGGATTGACAGTTTAGCCTCAAACCCAACCTGGATGGTACTCCTGCACTGCACGGCAATCAGAGGCTTGTAGGAATGGGATGAGAAGAGGCAAACACTGAAGAGGTGACTTTTTAATTTAGAAGGTGCTTTCTGAAATCCGAGAGCTTTTCCGTCATTTAAAAGGACAGAGGAGTGACTAAAAACAATACAGGAAACTTTCTCCACTGTCTGAGATATTGTACAGTGTCATAAGGCTTTCATATTGTAATTTTTTAAGCTGTACTTCTAGTGAAACCTAAATGTAAATTTCTTTCTAATGTACACTGAAAATGCCATGTACTAGCAGAAGTTACTCAACTGTTGTATAAAGGTATACATTTATCCTGCCCTTTGATGTAGCCACAGTTACTACCTGCAATTCAATGGGCTATGAGTAAGGAGGAAAAAAATATCCAATATACCAGCCAGAGATATTTCTTGAACGTGAACCTACTTTATCAACTAATATATTTAACATACAAATACTGGACTATTTGCAGCCTCACAAATAAAATAAGGGACCTTAAATGTTGAAACTGCTTTGCAGCATTTTGAACCTGAAGCCCGCAGTATTTAAAAAAATGACCATGCTGTGCCTTACAGCAGACTATAGTCTAACATGGAGAGGACAGACTGTTAAAATAAGCATCTACATAATTTTTCACAATACGCCGTGCCACAATGCATTTGGTTAAAAACAAACACATGTTTGCAGTGAAACATTTTAACAAATCACAGAACTCAGCAGCAAAGTAGTTAAACATTTATGATTTGATTTTATCTCAGCTTGGAATGTCGCTGGAGTGTCCCACTTCTAACAACTGTTTGCTAAGTTAAGGCTTCAGTGTTTACACAGTGCTGAATGAAGCAGCCTGGTCACCAGATGTGAAAGCTTCCTTAGACTAGAGCTTTCAATCAGATCACGGTCCTAATGGTCCCTGCTCCAACCTTCTTCCTCAGGACGTCCACCAGCCTTTCCAACCTGAGAGGGGGCAGGGGAGAGGGAGAGGAGAGAAAAAAAAAGGAAGCTAATGTTAGGAATGTTCTGGCTGAAAGAGACAGTGTTTGCACTGAACCAAGCTGTCCTGGTGGTGGTCACGCTCAGAAACAAAGCACTACTGTAAAAGACAGACATTAAGGGAAAATGCAGACAACTTGCGAAAAACTTTTTAACCTACAACCCAACCCATCTGCAGTCAGTGATATATATCAAGTCACTTTTCCTTTGTAGTGCATGGAGTATCTGAGGTCCCTGTATGGCATTAACACAAAACCCTGTGCAGCAATCCTGTGGTACAATATACACTTTGGTGTAAACAAGACAATTAATTTTTACACTTTTAAAAATATGAACTGTCCATGACTCTTGTTAAATGTAGCACTTAATGATTGTTTCCCCTTAAATAACATCTTGCCCATTATCAAACTGATACTTTTACTGTCCAGTTTACAAATTTATGGCTAAGAGCTGATGTGTTTTATGCAAAAACTTTTTCAAAATACTCAACAAGCCAAGATTCTGAGGATGTAGATGATGATATTTTGAAGGTGGCCTGCGTGATTCTTGTGTCAATACAACTACAGCAAAATTAACAGTCTAAGTAAGTAGGACAGAGTTGCCCAATCCTCTTAGCTTTAAGGCACAAGCACTATAAACATGTTCAATCTCACTGGCTTAATTTGATCTTTCTTTTGTTAAAGTATGTAGACAAATCCAAAGGACTAAATTTGTTCATAATTTTGTATCTACACACATTTATCTTCAGCATTCCAGAAATCATGTATTTAAGCTATTTCTTCAATTTATCTGTATTTTATGGTGTCCTTCAATGAAAACTCTCCCACAAATAAACTATCTGTATAAAAGCAGACACTGTGTGTAGCAGAACACTTTCAGAGCCATGTCCAGAATATTATACACACAGCTTCCACAACAGATAAACAGGGCTGTAGGTTCAAATAGCTGTATTCATTGTTACAAAGTTGACTATTTTTTTCTTATCTTGAAAGACAATTAAAAAAAATAATTATACAACATGAGAAATGCAGATAGGAAATAAAAATAACACAGCTTTATCAAAATTGCAAAACGCATTTTATCTCATGAATGCATTAGTAACTTCAGTGCACGTAAACTAGTCAACATGGACTGATTGCCACAAGTCATGACTAATGTGCTTGGTACGTATTGAAACACTCTTGTTTTCCAGGAACCACCAAGCACGATGAAGCTACACCTTTCATTGTACTCACTAGGTGACTTAATTCCTGAAATGAGATTAAGAATTCACCACCCAAATGTAATCATCAGACAGCAGAAAAAGTATGTGGAAAGTTCAGTTTGTTCTAGCTGTTCCACAGGGACTCTGAGGGAATGAACACACAGGTAAAAAGCTGCTGCTTAGGTAGCAACTGCTAAAAAACTGCTCCTCTCCCTTCAGTTTTCCAATAGTCACTTTTCCTTCTTAACCAACTAGTGCATTTCCCCCTGGTTTTGTAAAATAACATCTACTTCATTATAGAGGAAGCACCCAAACAGCCATAACTCAATGCTGTCAGTCCATGTAAGTATAAAATCAGGGATTTCACAAGGTATTTGCTCCTGGAAGTTTTCTCACTTTCTCACTTTTTTCACATTGATGGATACATCAATGTTTTTTGAGTTCTAAGGATTTTGACTCAGTTACTGATCAGGCAGTTTTGTCAGCCTCTCTCATTGAGAAGTTTCCCTGTTACAACTGCTGTGAGTCCATGTGCAATTTCAGGAAGCAATGGCAATTAGTCCCCTTTCACTAGCATGTGTATTTCAGAAGCACAGCAGCTTTCTCAGCCATTTTAACTCTTGCTGGAGGCCTCTTTCACACTAGCACCCTCTCTAATGTACTTCAGAGACATAAAAGCACTGGAGAAACATTTCAAACTGTTTGGACAAACAGAAGGTTTGGGCTGAAAATTGTTTTTCTGGGAGACAGCATAAAACCTGTAAAATCTGAGATCATGGCTTATTTAAATCACTGTTCAGTTAAAAAGAAATATTGTGTGGCTTATACAAGGCAGGGGGTGGCGGGGGGGAATGACTTCAGTAATTGAGGCTCCTTTTGGGGAAACACAAGTTGGATGTCACAGCTTACACACTGTCCTGCAACTGGGTTTAGATGTGCACCACTCTGTGACCAAGCAATGGCACTGCACACCACAGCAGAACAAGCCAGTGAAAAGCTGCCCATGTTTGAAGAGAAACACCACTGGGATGAAAGTAGCTGTCTTCTGTTTAACCTTGAAACTGTCAGGCTTCATTGAAAATAATGAGGCTTAACAATCATAGTTTCTGCTTTTCAAACGAATGATGACTGAAATCATCCAAATGAGGTATTCCTCACCAAATACACACCATGCAGAGCTTGTTTGCCTTTTGTTTCAGTCATATGTGGATTTTCAAATTTATTTATTCTTTATCAGAAGGGAAAAAAAACCCCGTAGCAGTGGATTAAGATATTGTACCTCTGAAAGAGATTTAAGCAACAATGTAAAAGAAAAATGGTAGCAGCTATCTATAAAATAAAATAACAGAGGGCAAAATTTACACCTACACAGACACAAGACCCAATATACCACTGAAATCCCACTTAAGCCTACAAAATAATGCTATGTGCTGCATCAGTGGTTAATAACTCTTGATACAGGCCTCAGGGGGCTTTTTGGAATGATAACCCTGGACTCTTTGTTCATCAAGGGCCCAACTCTGTCATCCCAACTCACACTAAGCAACATTTTCTTTGTGAGTAATAAAAGGCAGCTAAAAAGGCTGTTCGTGCCAGTGAGGTGCTACCTGTGAGGGGTGAGGGTGGCAGAGCCAGCCCTTGTTGATAAGGCTTTGTGCCCAGCCCAGTGGGATCCAGCAGGCAGCTCCCTCTGGAGACTGAGCATTTGAATGTGGAAAACTGCAGTAATAGTTTTATACCTCAAGACCAAAGGTAACTTAAACAGAAGAATGAAAGATACTGGGAACTAGTCTCAATGTTTGCAGGGTTTTATTCAAAATATGGAAGACATGAAGAAAGTAATTTCCATTACTTTGTGTAATTTCACCAAATTTCACTTAACTGAAAGCAGCACTGACTACATTTGATTGTATTCTAATACAAATTCTTACAAATTCTAACATTCTAACAAATGACATTTGTCTTTTTGCTTGTGAAGAGTCCTCATAGTGTAAGTTAAATGTGCAACATGACACCTTCTCCTGAGATGTAAGCAAGGACGCTCACTGAATTTGCATCTCATGAAGCAACTAAATAAGTAATTTAAGAAGAAAGTATTTGAGTTCATATTTTAGATCAGATGGAAGGATGATATGGTGGGTGGGCCATTCTGTGGTAGTGCTGAAGGTCCAAATGTGCAAGGACAGACACACCTTTTGGAATGCTTTACAAAGCCTCTTAAAGGTTCACTCCCCATTCTCACAGATTTCAATTTCTTAGAAATTTTTGAAAATCACAGTAGATGACCTCCATTATTCCTTGGTTCTTCAAATACTTCAAGAAAATCTGTCCCTTAACAAATAAATTCTCTCAACAAATGCCACATCAGCATTCTTTATACAATTATTGTATGCATGCATGCAAAGTGAGTACAAAAGGACATATAAGATACAGGAAAAAACTATGGATTCAAATGGATAGGTACAACTTTGGTTTTATTTCTATTGATTTACATATATCCAAAAGTAAAAAGTAAAAATTGGCTTTTCAAGATAGATGGAATTTGCATTGATGAAAAGCACAAAGATGATGGTTAGAAATATTCTTTATATACACTACATAATGCTCCCATGAATGGAAAAATAAATAAAACACACGATTTAAGAAGGAGACACCCAGTCCATCATTATTTTTAAGTTAGCAAAAGACACAATGTTAGGAGTCTTGAATTGCAGTGGCTTAATGCTTTTTCCATTCAAATTTGGAATTAAGCAGTTGAATCTGTGTTCTATACAGAAATAAAAAGAATTCCATAAGGGGCTTGCTGCTATGATATTACAGGTTTAATTATGTCCTCTTGAACATGTTGCTAAGCTTTAAGAAGATCCTCATCTTTAGAGGAAAGAACAGCACCTGAACAGGATCATTACTAGGTGAGCCTTCCCCAAGACAAATTCTCAACCATTCTCAAATTTTCTTCCAGGTATTTCAAACTGTGTTTCCTTGTCACCTGTGCACACAGCCATCAATGCCTGCATGGAGAGTATGTTGTTATGTGGAGTGTTCTTACACAGATCCTGAATTGCTTGACAATCTGCTCTGACTTTTAGCAAAGCTTTACTCCTTTGAGTAAAAACAAATTTGTTTTAGACTTGGCCTCCATAAAGCAGACTTAAAATCCTACCTGACAGAGAAGTTTGCTCTGGGAGCCCAGAAGCTGAACAGACTGGTGCAAATATGTTACCTACTACTCTCTACTGCTCACTCTTATGCACATTTTTGGCTTGCTTCCCTATTTCACATATTCTGCTGAAGAAGTCTAACTCTAATCTGTAGCTTGGGATCAGTAAAAACTCTGCAACTGCATAAATCCACATGGGTTGGTACATGCTTTCACACTGCTCCACCTCTGGCCAAAGGAACTCACCCCAAAGACAACAGTGGTCTTTACTCCCAAGTTCTGAATATGACAGTTATACAGCCATGGAGTGACCTTCCTGGGAATCATGGGCCAGAAACAGATAAAATGGACACCCAACTGACAGAAAAGGGCACCCTTCAAGTAGCCCATGTCCTAATCTGCAAAGCAATATACAGACTAGCCAAAAACAATGGTTTCTACCTGCAAATGGAGGACTTAAGTGATAAAAACAAAATCTTCCTGGATTTTGAAATGCTATATAAAGGCTTATAAACCTTAGCTATTACCCTTGGTTATCTTTCCAGTAGATAAGATTAGGCTCAGGCTATGAAGATGGCCTTACTTGCATGATTTCTGGCT